GAACACAGAAATCTTGGGCAAGGGGTTGGCCACATAGTTTCAGTGTCCTCTGAAAATGAGTTTGTTCTTTAAAGCCTGGGGAAAAGAGACAAGAAGGATTCTCCATCCCTGTGGTATTAGACATATTCTAACACATTATCGCTGTTTTTACTATATCTTTACTCCAAACTTTTCAACATGTCTAGGTAGATACTGACTTTGAGCTAAAGGGGACAGCATAGTATGCAAATGAGGGGAAGTGTGTCCTTTGCTTGAGTGGTTTTTATGACCAAGGGTTTTAGGGATGGCATTTTCTTATGTTGAGTCGTCTGAGGGTCCTCTCATAATGTGCTCGTAGCTGGCTTGATTTGCTGAATATATATCTATGGAAAGTGACTTTTGCTTTTCCAGAATATTCAGGGCACCTTGGGATTCAGCATCCTGCAACTCCATGGTCTGCATCCATTGCCTAAGCAGGTGTCTCTGTAGCAATGCCTGTGCTCGGAGACTATTCGGCCCAACCCAGGAAAGAATGTGGGATTTCCTAGGCACTAGGTCTTCGGTGCATCTGAAATTCTGCCTGCTTCTTAGCTGATACCTAAGCTGCTGAACTGCATTTCAAGAGCCAGTATTCCTGTCCTATTTAAAATGAACATGAGACAGTCATGGGAATGGCCAGGACCCCAGAACAGTCTGGAGGCCTATCTACACTGATATAATGAAATTAAATTAACTTTAAGAAAGAAAAAGTTGGGCCTTTGAGATGGTTCAGTGGGCAAAGGAACTTGCCACCTAGGCCAACAAACTGAGTTTGATATCTAGAGGCCATGTGGTAGAAGGAGAGCTCTGACTCACATAAGTAATCCTCTGATCTAAACACACACACACACACACACACACACACACACACACACACACACACGCAAAGAACCAGTAACAATCTTTGTGCTCGTGGCCTTGGGCCCAGAATATTTTGATTCAACGAGTCTGGGGTAAACCCATGAGACCTACACCTCCATCAGTCTCCCTTGTGGTTTGTATACTTGTAGTCTATGTGCCCACTGGCCTTGAGTATTTCCTCTTATGTTCACATATGTTATATCTCACTAAAGTACAAATAATTTCAATATCTTGTCCAAAATATAGATCTCTATCTTGGTCAAAGGATTAGCAATCTTCAAAAGGAAATAAACTCAGCATTTCTTTATTTCTTCATCAGAGATGGGGATCTGGTAGTAGTCCAGTCACCCACATAGGCCCTGGGAGTACTAAGGTCTCCCTCCCTAGGAATGTCTTTCTTGGCATGTTTGCAAGTGAGTGTGCGCATGCGAGCAAGGACTATGCTACCAAGAATAGTCCGTATTTACTCTGTGGGTGCAGTTCCCCCAGTGTGACCATTGTCAGAGAGGAAAAAGCCTTTGAATAAGCCTTTCCATCATTCACCTTTCCAACAAATGGTCATGCTATTGAGGTTATGCATCTAGGTAGGACAAAAATAAGGAAGAAACAATTCTTTTTCTCGAGGCTTCTACAGTATTGAGTCATAGCTTCTGCGTTGATGTCTGCACTGTCGGTGTTTCTGTCTCCTTTAGTACACACATTATGCTACTGTATACACCCCCTCCAGCAGGTTAACTCAACTGACGCACATGCCAAAGACCAACAACCCTGTCCCACACTTCTGGGAAACAAGAAAGCAATATCCAATGCTACCAGTAACTTAGCTCCATCTGTGCCTACAGATGTTTAGTTTAGGTTTAGAACACATAATCGCCTTTCAAGCATTTTCTTTATGTTGCTGTTAGAACTTGATGCTAGACTTGTTTCATAGTTTACTGGAAAAAATGATAGTATTTATTGTTGTATTGGGGAAAGAAAAATCCCTCTTGTTGTAGAGATACAAATACTAGTATTAAAAGTCTTTTATCCATATGCATGTATGAAATTGTCAAACTTAATAAAAAGTATCCTATTGAGTACCTAGCTATTAATATGAAGCCAGACATGTTTTTGTTTATAATTATTTATGACACTTATCTAAATTCAAATATTTCAAAACATTTTTACAAAATGGACTGCTTTCTATTAAAATTCATGTAATGCTTCTATTTTATCCAATTTAAGTCAGTCATCAAAGGATGCTCATGCTAGCTACATTTTTTTTCTGGAGCTAAACATAGTGAATCATATAGGCTGAGGGTGTTATCAGTCTCTTTGCATTCTAAACAAGAGAAAATGTACCATGGAGTCACTGCCTCTCATTTTTTAAGGTCATTGATTGGGTTCAAAAGGCAAATGCCTTTTTTCGTTGAACTTACTTCAATTAAGCCATTAACCTTTTGCAATAAGTGTATTCAAAAATCTATCAAAGAAAGCTAAATGAGATTTTAACAAAATCCTGACAATTTCAGCTTAAACATATACACAGAAACCATATGTGCTTAGGAAGAAATATATACACACAGGCATTGTTTACAGAGTGTGTTTTTCTATTTGGAAGACAGTGAAGGAAGAGTTATTCCATACATAATCTGAAACGTGCGTTCAGAGAGCCGCAGAGACTCCACAGTAAGAGACAAAGATATCTTTATCCACAGTGTGGAGACAGACAGACTGACTGACTTCAAACTTGGACTTGCAATGTGAATTTTTTCCCCTCATCTCTGGGTACTGCTTTCAAAATTGCCTCAGGCTACAGAACAGCACCTCAGATCCCCAAGGCCCACTGCCTGGCTCCTAATAGCCACTCTCCATCTGTGTCACATGAGCAGCTGATGAGATCGCTCCAGTGTCTGTATTTTGGAGAGCACTTCCACCCAGGTGAAAATGCTGGGGTTGCCAAGGAGCAGTCAGAAGCCATTAGTGTGGGTGAGAATTTGCCTTGCAGCAGTTCCTTGGCACGGTGGAAAGTGTGTGCACACGTCCCCATTCAGGCTTGTGTGTGTGTGTGTGTGTGTGTGTGTGTGTGTGAGATGTATGTGTGCATGTGCACGCACACATGTGCATGCGTGCGTGTATGCAAGTCCCAGATAGATGCACATGTGTGTGCAAGGAAGGTCTTAGATTCTATATACCAGTATTCAAAAAACCAAAGGATTTTTCTTTCCCTGCCCACGCATTTGTTCTTTGACTCAAATAGTCAATTTGACTCTCCCTCTCTCCTCCCCCCGTGTGTGTGTGTGTGTGTGTGTGTGTGTAAAATGTGTGTCCCCACCCCCAGTCTCTCTGTCTCTATGTATGTGTGTGTTTGTGTGTGTGTGTGTGCGCGCGCGTGTATGTCTCTCTCTCTCTCTTTTTTATCATAACAGAAGGCAAAGAAAAAGAGAACAGCAACTTTGGGGTCATGCTCTAGTGTTTGGGCAGATGGAAGGGAGCTGCTTTGCCTTGGGGCAGGGTGGCTGTAACGAAGTGGCCTGTCAGTCTGTAAATAGTGAGGGTCATCCCTTCCATGTGATGGAGGGGATCGCATTGCAGTGAAAATGGAAATGTCAATAAAATTAATCTGCCAGCTCTTTGCTGTGGTTTTTCTGCTTCTCTGGTCAAAGAAGGTTGAGGGTTGTTTTTTTTCTTTCTGTGAGAGAGCTAAAGGAACAGGTACCAGAAAGGCCATAAGGCAGACCCAGAAGTTCTAAGGCCAGTGCCCAGTGGGCAGGAAGTCTGGGTGAAACACCGTTTGGGAGGAGGGAGTGGGGTTAGGGATTTGCTGGTGGATCTGCTGCATTCCTCGGGCAGCTACGGAGTGCCCAGCTCAGGCTACATTGAGCACAGAGTTTATTGTTTTAGGCTTTCTTGGACAAGGTTTTTACTTAGCGTGGGATTTATGGCATTTACTGCTAATGAATGTCTATTCTTAAATTACAAAAAAACCCATCTCAGCGCAATTCCCAGATGTCCTTCCAGGACCCCAGCTTCTTAAACACCAGCAGGGAGCATAAACTCTCCACTTCTCTGTTTTCCTCTTTCGTGTGGCTCCAGGCTAATGATGTGCAAGGAAAACACAGCCATCTCTAAAGCCCCAGTGCTGTCCCCGTATTCTTCATTTATTTTGCATTTGATTATGCCACAAGTCGGATCTTGTTTCTTTCCTTTTTTTAAAGTTATTAGTTCAAATATTAATGTAGGGATATGGCATATATTACTACTCTTGATTGATGCCTTCCCAAAAACAGGAAGACGTGCTCGTATGAATTTTAAGAAAGTAGGGGTCCTGCAATGCCTTGCCAGAAGAGTTTTTCAGATACATAATTTAGATGCCCTCCAGGCAGGCTTTCAAGGCATTTTTGCCGGAGGGCAAGAAAAAATAACTCTGACTGTTAAAAGTAAATGATTTTTGCTAATGCACAATTAATGCCAGAGAAAAGCACAGAAGAGAAAGATGTTGATAGGAAGGCTCTGATTAAGTGAGCACCCTACCTTGATGTGTGTCTTTTTGTCTGCCCCCTCACGATAATGATCAGTGCTGCAGAGAGCTAAAAAGTTTCCATGTCATGCAAATGTGGAGCTTGGGTCATAGGAGTGTGCGAATGTGCGAGTTTAGGAGGTGACAGTTCTGGGAGGGGCTGAGCAGGCAGTGCGTTATGTGCAATCAACAGTGACACAACTACTGTCACCTATGCAGGCAGCCTAGAATATATAGACTACAGAACATTTAACTTGATTACCCGGCAGTCTGTGCTCACTATGGGCACGGGGATGTATTTCTACCAAATGGGTTTTCTCGTAGCGGTTTGCCCACACTGGGTTCCATAATTGACAAAGAGCTACTGCGCTGTGTCAAGTACACAATTATAATTGAATTAATGATATGGGCGAGAGTGAGACACACAAAATTAACATTTGAAGAGGCCTGGCTTAATTTTGTCTTTTACATATTTGTGTCTCCAATTATACTTTAATGAAAGGGAATATACCCCCTTAATGGATTTCTTTCAGCGAGCTTAGCTGAGCTCGTCATTAGCCTGGCATTGTTGTTGGCACCCTTGCTATGCTTGCTCTAATGGATCTTCATTTCTTCCTATTAGGTGATGGGTTAGACAACAGTGTAGCTTCACCTGGCACAGGTGATGACGACGATCCAGACAAGGACAAAAAACGCCAGAAGAAAAGAGGCATATTCCCCAAAGTCGCGACAAATATCATGAGAGCTTGGCTCTTCCAGCATCTCACAGTAAGTTAAAAGATATTAAAAAAATAACAGAAAGTTTACTCGTCAGTTTACGAAGTTTTAGCGAATCACATGGTCTCTCACACAAGGTTGGTTTTTGTTTTGGTTTGAGTTCCATCCTTCTGTTCATTTTTTAAGACAAGGTTGCCTGCTTTCTGTTCCTTGGAAATCTCGCGACTCATACAACCGTCATAATTTTGTCAACCATTACCATCCAAATAGTATCCTCTAGAAAGAAACAATGATTTGTCTTAAGAGGTCAGCAATAGACCTTATTCAAAATGGCCTGAGACTCTCAAAAAATATATGTAAATGTTTACTGTACAAGATCTGGGCAACTTCAGCCAATGCAGCTTCAATCAAAGGAGAGAGTGTTGCTGATTCTCCTGCTAACCAGTGCTGTCTCTGTCATCAGCATCTTCCCATGTGCGTGTCCAAGCTCATCTCAAGTCACGGAGGTGGTCTGATAACACAGTGTGTGTGTGTGTGTGTGTGTGTGTGTGTGTGTGTGTGTGTGTGTGTGTAATGCAGAAGAGTTGTTGGTAATCTAGTGCCGTTGTTTGCAAGGTTGAAATTAAAAATTCTGTTTTATCTGTTCAAGTCCATTATCTTAAAAGCCAATCCTTTTTGCTTCTAGGAAAAGAATAATATGTGCAATGGCCTTAAAGTAACAATTTATATCCCTGTGTTTGCAGTCAGCTCTATGTGTCAGTATATACTGTTGACTCAAAGACTCTCGTGATGAAGAGTGACTTTTTTTTTTCAGAGGAATTATGCATGCTTATATTTTACTATCCAATTGGAACTTTTCCGAGGATATGTCTTGTCTTAGCATTGTTTTCAGACCATTCTATCTACACTACAGCTTAATAACAGACTAAGCAGTGTATTGAAAGCTGAAGGTCTTACTTGGTTATCCAGCTTGTGTGTCGTCATGCTGAATGACATTAGTTATAGTGTTGTGAGTCCAGGAAGAGGTTCTGCTCTTATTTATGATGGTGGTTGTTGGTATGCTCTTCTCACAGAGGGACAGAGGGCAAGGGACGGAGTGGTGGTAGGGAGGGAGAAATGATGAATTCATGCTTCTGAAGCGGACATTTTGATGTAGGGACATTAGTACCAAACTGAGGTGAATTGATCTGGCCTCCGGTGTCTGGATCAGCTGTGAGTACCAACGAGGCTGCCTTGGTAGTGGTTATTCTTGCCTCACAGCTATGGCCATTTCAAAGGTCAGGGCTCTACACTGACTTGGCTCAGAGGAATTAGATGGAACATGCGTCTTTGGGCTGATTACTTAACCAAAGACAAAATAATGAGTCCTAAGCAAATACTGACTAATTGAAAGGGCTGTAAATCCATTACATATTGGTCAGGGATAATCAGGAGTATTTAATCACTTTTATCTATTCAGGAGCACTGAAGCTGCAACAGCAAAGCCTTCAACCTTGCCATGTGCTTATTATTCTCATCATTATCAAAATTACTTCACAGCTGTTCTTTGCTACATCACCTCAGCTGGAGACTGGCTAACCTGTAAAATGTTTTTAATTTGGAAGTAGGGTGAGTGTGAGGGGAGGGCTTCCTTGTTTTTCACCCCGAGGTTTGGTGGTTTAAGTAGCTAGAGATGCTAAGAAAGGCAGGAGCCTCCTAAACAGGCAAGCTGCTTCATCCTGACCAGAACATCTAGTTGGATGATTACCTTACAATGATATCTGTCTTGGTTGAAATTAGACATTTCCGTGGTTTCTTTGCAACCAGCCATCTCTGTGCTTGCATTTTCAGCCTCTGCCAGGACAACCGATGTCCCAGAATGGTCACATTTTAGAGAATGTGGCTACTCTGAACTCAGACAGAGAAGCAGAATCTAGCTAGTGAAACGCAGCTGTCTGAGTCACTATCTCCATGTTCTTTCCACCTGCAAAGGTGATTTGCTCAGGTCTTATCTGTGGCAGTTGCATAGAGACCTCACAATGTCTGCCATCGGTATACTCAAAGTCAAGGTGGTGATGGTGTAGTGGCAGGGTTACGGAAAAGTCAAGGGCTGTCTTCCTTACCTGTCTGGAAAACCACCAGCTCCCCCAGCCTTTCTGAATAGGGAAGCATCTGTACTCAGTCTATGAACAAGCCTCATGGTGAACCAGCTCCTGATCTCTTGCTTTGACTGTCATGGATTCAGCTCTCACCACACACTGCAGCCATTGCCCATGATTCCTTAGCACTTGCCTGTCAACTGTGTTACAAACTCACCATCCTTGCTTCAGGAGAAAGTCTACCTAGTTAAATACACGCAGGACTTGTGCAGAATTCTCTGTACTATTAACAGTCTCACTGACTGCTTAGAAAAAAAGACTCACATAAGTTGAGTCTAGGATTCAGGGAACTTCATTTCAATCCCTTTTCCTCTGGACTGTCTGATGGCCTGTTTAGCCCATTAAGTTCCCTTGATTTTACTTTGCTCCATTTTTCAAATGAGAAAGCAATATCACAGCATCCACAGGTCCCTTGTCTGTACCTCTGCATTTGTGTTCCACTCAATGTCCTTAGGCAGAGCAACGCCCCCAGCCCACAGTCATCTTGCCATTTCCTTCCTCCTTTCACTTGTCACAAAGTGCTTTTTTTTCCTCCTCTCCATGACCTTCTTTCACAAATTGCCCTTTTTCATGGCTTCCTCCCACTGGCTTTGTGTCCCATCTCTGTCTGTTCCCCTCCAGGCCTTTTCTGCACCTCCTTTGGATCTCAGAGAAATTCTCTCTGGCTTTCACTTTGAAAATGTTTTCTCTCCCCATCCACACTTCACCCCCACTGCAGAGAAGAGGCCCGGTAACTTTGATGAGATGGTCTTGTAAAACTTTTACTTTCCAATCTTTAATGAGCTGAAAGATTTACTCAGCTGTAATTCCGAGCTCAGAAAACAAGAATAGAGTCCCCTAACTAGCGACATGTTAATTTAGACCTCTTTTCTTACATGCACTAACAGGCATGAGGGAGTCCTTGGAAATAGGGATGCCCTGGTATATTTCTCTGTCATTTAATGAATTTCAACATTCAAAGTGAAATGTCGACTGGAACTCCCTGAAAATAGATGTGGCCTAAATTATTATTTCATGTAAATTTCTTTACATGTGTGGGATTCAATGCACATTCTTCCATTATCAGTCTCTTTAACATTATTTCAAACTGGCCTGTCTCCTTTTGTGTGGTGTGACCTGTTCTTGTAGTACAATAATCCCTGATGTACCCTTTTTTTCTTTCTTTCTTAAAAAAGAAGCTAATTGAATTATCTCATTATTTTAATTTGTTAAGCAAATGTATTTTGCATCTCAGGATGTGTTCTTATAGAAGGGGGCTGCAAAGGCTTTGCCCCCTGAATGGGCCATTGGCCCATTTTGACATTCATGCATTCATTAACTATCAGAACATAAAAGAACTCTGGGTGTATTTTTTTTCCAAACACCCAACCAGCATGAAGCAACTTTCCCCAATAAGCCACAGGGGTCTCTCTACATATGTTCTCAACTGCAAGCTATTGTCACCTATTCTGAATACCTCAAAAGGCCTAGAGGAGGGAAAAAACCCAACTCAACAAAGGCCAACTGTAGCAATTGTGAAGTCTTAGTCTCAATATGACAAAAATCATTAACCTTCCATTTTCTGGGAAGAACAAATTCCAGTACAATTGTAACAGTTGAAACAATCTCTCAGATTCGTATGAGCCATGGTTAGGAGAAACCATAATCAATTTGTTGGTAATTGATTACTTTCAAGAAAATATTTAAACTAGAACCAGTGGAATTTTGAAAATCTAGTTGCTTGATGAATCTGTTTCCACGCTCAGAGCCAAGCTCTTTGAATTTGTTTAATCTGATGTTAAAGGATTACTCTCTAGTTTCTAGCTACCAGTCTTCATGGTGTCCTTTAAAACAATGTCCTCTAGAATGTGCAATACTCTTACAAAAATAAATCCATTTCTTCTTAGAAATTCAGTTAGTAAAACTGCTGAACACCCATTATCCTCTTCCATTCATGCATGGCCCTGTCTGGCTTATTCACCGTAAGAAAACTAAAGGAGATGGAAGAAAAAAATCTGTTGGAAACACACGTGCATTTGAGAGAAAGTAAAAAAGGACCAAAACAAACAAACAAACAAACAAACAAACCAACAATAATAAAGCCATCTCAGTAAAATGCATTCTCTTTATGAACACTTGGAGTTTATAAAATTATAAAAGCAAGGCTGCCATTACAACTTTTTATTCTACTGCAAAGATAAAAGAAATGGCAAGAAATAATCTCCAAGCTGACAGTTTACAATCACACACCAGGCCATTAGTGCTCAAGCCAGCCTGCCAACACCTTTCCTTGTCAACTGGGGAGATCTCCCTGAGCTGTGCCCTCCATTGGAGAGAAAGGTACTCACACCTAAGGTCTTGGCTTGGTCATGCCCGTTTCTGACTGAGGGTCTTGGAATTGAAAAACAGTAAAGCTGCCCACCCCCTCCCTCACCTGCACAATAGGTGTGACACTTCCTTCAGAGATACCTTTACTCCTCAGAAGCAAGCGACAGTATATTGTGCTATTGTGTAGTCTCCTTGAAATGGCAAGTTTTGATGCTCTGTCACTGTCTGTGGCAAATGCTGCATCCCTTCTCTGTCTGTGGGTATGGGAGAAGGGGTTGTGGTTTGTGGCTTGGTGACTCTGTATCTACTGGCAGTCATTTTATGGGACTACGAAGAAGCCTAGGTTTGACGATAAAAATATGCTTTAATGTATATTGACTTCCAAGACAATGAGGCCTAGTGATGGGTCAGTCTACTTATAGGTTACATTGGAGAAACATATTTTTCCTTCAGTTGATTCATGGAGGCCTATTGATAGAAAACAAAGCCATCTTAAATTTTCTGTTGTTCTACACCCATCCCCCACACTCACCCCACACACGGGGCGGGGGGGGGAAGGGGACAAAAGAAAGGAAGGAAATGGAGAGATACACTTCAATTTTTTTG